CGTGAAGAATGGGCACCAAACTGTACATAACAGGATAAGCAAAGGCCCAGTGGAGTTAGTGTTCCCTTTGGCTACGGTATAGTGGTGCAGAAACAGGAAATGAGGTTGGAAAGCTAGTCAGGCCAGATGCGGAGGGGCCTGAAGACCTAGCCAAGGAGCGCACACCTTTGCACATAGAGCAGCACTTCTCAAACTTAATTGTGCATACAAATCACCTGGGGATCTTGTTGCAGCCGATCTGGCGGTGGGACCTGAGATTCTCCATTTCTAACTTCCAGGTGGTGCTGATATTGGGAGACCACATCCTGAGTATCAAGAACACAGATGGTGGGGAACCACTGCACAGAGAAACTGCCTGATGCCCCAGTGTGATCCAGGAAGACTAAATCTGACAACAGTGGATCAGGCAGATTAGAATGGGGAGAAGTTGCAGCATGTGGTCCTCAACACTGGTTGTTTCTTAGAATCATCTGGGAAGATTTTATTCCACACTGTTACCCAGGCCCCACTCCCAACGATTCTGATTTAATTGATCTGGAGTGGGGCCCAGATTTTAGTATGTTTAAAAAGTTCTCCAGGGAATTCTAATGCGCAGCTAGGATTGAGAATCTCTGCTGTAGATGACACAGTAAGTACCGAAACCATTCAGGCAAAGATGATGGAGATCTAAACTAGGCCACTGTCAGTGAGAACAGAGTGAAGAGGCCAGGGGTATAAAATACTGGAAATGTAGAGGGAAGTGACCTTAGCAACTGACTGTGCAGTGACTTAGATGTACAGCTACAACATTCATTTCTTCTGGTTAAAGACAGTTTGGTGAAATGGTTAAGAACACAGACTTTGGGGTCAGAGACTGCCTGGGTTTGAGTTCCGGTTCTGCTGTTTATTTACTAGGGTGTGTGCATCAGAGAGAGAGAGACCTTGAGCAAGTTCCTTAACCGTTTCGTGACTCAGTGTACTCATCTGTAAATTGAGGATATAACAATAACCAACATATGGAGTTGTGAAGATTAAGTGAGTTAACATACATGTAAAGCCCTCAGAACCACACTTGGCACATTGGAAGGGCTATAAAGGCATTTGCTCTTATTATTAGCACGGTTCATTATCTATTTTGATCTCTCCAGGATGTCAAATTGCATGTAACACTGATCTGGAAAAAGAGAAGTCCTTGAGGGCTCTCAACCCTCAGCCTATCTGAAGTCACTGGGTTGCCAT